GCTTCCCTAAACAGGGCTGCCTTCAGATGTCTTCTAAAAGTCAGATAGTTGTTTATTTCCTTGACATCTGAAGGGAGGGCCTTCCACAGGATGGGCGCCACTCCCGAGAAGGCCCTCTGCCTGGTTCAACAAGGAGTCTTATGGAACTGCTGGAGTAGGCCAATGGCCCATCTAGCCCCACATCCTTTTCACACAGTGGCGAGAAGCCCCCAGGCAAGACCCACTTCTGTGGTTTCCAGCAACTGCAATTTAGAAGCTTTGCTGTCTCAGACAGTGGAGGCAGAGTGTGAGCTGGATAGCACAGCTGCATCACATTCAGTTGGCCTGTTGGTTCAGGAACTGTGAATTGCATAGTGAAGCGAAGCAAATTTTGCCCCGATCCCTGGCAATCATTCCACAAATAACATGATCATCTGAATCCACCTCTAGTAAAAGCATCTTGGTTCTTCTTCGAAATCAAAGACTAGAACTAGAAATCAAAACAGTCTTTGGCTGCCATCCTAAGCAGCTACATACCTCTGAGGAGTAAACCCCATGGAATTCAATAGGACTTCCTTCCGAGTCAACAGACATAGGGTCGGTTAGGGTTATTCACTCATGAGATGATGTTAAAACAAACAAACCACAGGCAAAGGTAGGTTTCCAGTTTGTTCTTTTAAAAATAGTTCCATAAGACTCCTTGTTGAACCAGACAGAGGGCCTTCTCAGTAGTGGCACTCGCCTTGTGGAATGCCCTCCCTTCAGATGTCAAGGAAATAAACAACCATCTGACTTTTAGAAGACATCTGAAGGCAGCCCTGTTTAGGGAAGCTTTTAATGTTTGATGTTGTTGCTTTTTTATTATTGTTACTGGTGTTCTGTTGGGAGCGGCCCACAGTGGCTGGGAAAACCCAGCCAGATGGGCGGGGTATAAATAATACATTATTATTATTATTATTATTATTATTAGGTTAAAAAATTATCTCATGGTGAGGGGGGAATTCTAGAGAACACATCTGTTTTGGGACTGCAAGATGCAACCTAACAAATGAACTGAGTCTCATGGTATTAGAGCTGTTTTTCCCCTTTTAAATTGGGGTCCTGGTTTATGGCATTCAAGCAAGAGTGGGTGGCAATTTTGCTTGAATTCTATTATATTTACTGCAGCTGAATCTCCTCTTTATTGTGAAAGACATCATCCAGAAGTACTATTAATTGACATCAACGAGGGTTTTGGCTCATAATGGGCAGCAGAATCAGAGTCTTAATTTGGTAAACTAATATAAAAAGCCCAGGCATTTTCCTTAAGGATATTAACTCATTCTATCGCTGGAAGCTCTGGCCATGTCTCAATTCACCGGAGAAAGGAAGCAGAAGCAAGCCTCAGATCATTTGGGGCTAGAGAACATTTGAATTTAGCATTATGCTTCATTAAATTATTGTATGGGTGGTTGATTAAAGCAGCTGGTTCTCTTCATATTCTTCACTTCAGAAATGCTTTGTCTGTATGGCATAAAGAAATCTCATTGGCTAAATGCAAAAGGGAATGCCTTTGTTATAGTGAAGCTAGTATGTACCATTGAAATGGGGAAAATGTTGTTTTTTTAAAAACTAATAATACTGAAAATAGGTTATTGGAAGTGCAGGAAGAAGACTTATTATACTGAGTCAGACCACTGGTCCGTGTAGTTCAGTGTTATCTGCTACCCAGACTGACTGGCTCTCCAAGGTTTCAGATATAAGCTTCCCATTGGCTGCAGGAGCTTTCTGAGCTCAAGCTGAAGCAGACGTTTGGTTTCTGAAAAATGTTCACAAACAGGAACACTTACTTCCGGGTTTGTGGTGTTCGGGAGCTGATTTGTTTGGCAACTATGCCATTCGGGAACGAAGGTACCAATGTAGGTCTTTTTGAGCCCTACCTAGCAAAGTTGGGGACTGGATCCAGGAAGTTTTTCAAGCAGTGAATGTCCTCTATCACTGAGCTATGGGCCTTCCCGTGCCATTAACATGGTCGTGTCCATCAATGGTCAAATGAGACAAGCAGGGGATGTTTATCACCATCTTGTCCTGGTTTCGAGCTTCCCAGGATCTTCTGACTGGGATTTACCGTATTTTTCGCTCTATAACACGCACCCGACCATAACACGCATGTAGTTTTTAGAGGAGGAAAATCCGTAGGCATGCCACCCGTAGGCATTCCCTCCATAACACGCACAGACATTTCCCCTTACTTTCTAGGAGGAAAAAAGTGCGTGTTATGGTGCAAAAAATACGGTATTTATTTTTTTAGTCCTCTGGAGACAGTTTGTTGGGCTTAGTTAGACTTTGTTCTACAGTACCACGGGAATTCTAATACAGTGGTACCTCCAGTTGCGGATGGGATCTGTTCTGGAGGTCCGGTCAGATCCCGAGGTTTCCTCAACCTGAGGACCGCTTCTGCACATGGCAAAACCTGGTAAAATACTTTCGGGTTTCCCGCTTTCGCATCCCGAAGTTTACGTAACCGGAGGTATCACTGTACATGTTTAATAAATTGTACTTCTGCCCTCTCAGGTATGCCACAATATACCCCCCCTCCAAAGACTAGAGGGTTTTAAAATTCCGTCTTTCAGCCTCTGCTCCCTCTCTGGAAAATAGGAACTTTGGTTTCTGTAAGGCTGAATGATATATGGCATACATATTACTTCTAGTAACACACTCAAAACCTAACCTCCCTCCCTCCTTCCCTCCCTCCTTCCCAGGCTTGTTGTGAGGAAGATGGAATTATGTGATCAGCCTGGGCTCCTTGAGGGAAGGATGGGATTGGGTTTTTTTAAACGCAACAAATAAAACAGGGCAAATGCGTTCTAAGAGAAGTGAGCAATAGCTCAGTTGGTTAGAGCATGGTGCTGATAATGCCAAGGTTGCAGGATTAATACGATACGATAATCTTTATTGTCATTGTCCCACATAGAAAAAACAAAATTGAAAAAAATATACATCAGACATTCAAAAACCAACAAGCCTGCTATCCCAGCTATCCCAGCTATCCCAGCCTGGTTAACCCCTAAAAACTCTGATACCCCATAATTAAATACAATATACTCCCACAGAGATTACCTTAAGTAAAGGTAAAGGTACCCCTGCCCGTACGGGCCAGTCTTGACAGACTCTAGGGTTGTGTGCCCATCTCACTCAAGAGGCTGGGGGCCAGCGCTGTCCGGAGACACTTCCGGGTCACTTGGCCAGCGTGACATCGCTGCTCTGGCGAGCCAGAGCCGCACACGGAAACACCGTTTACCTTCCCGCTAGTAAGCGGTCCCTATTTATCTACTTGCACCCGGGGGTGCTTTCGAACTGCTAGGTTGGCAGGCGCTGGGACCGAGCAGCGGGAGCGCACCCCGCTGCGGGGATTCAAACCGCCGACCTTTCGATTGGCAAGCCCTAGGCGCTGAGGCTTTTACCCACAGCGCCACCCGCGTCAACCAAAATCGCATTTGGATAAAAACTGTTTCTCAGGCGGCTAGTCCTAGTCTTTATAACCCTGTACCTTCTTCCAGACGGCAGAAGCTGAAAGAGATCAATTCCAGGGTGCGTACCATCCTATTCTCATATGGGACAGCTGCATATTCCTTTATTGCAGGGGGCTGGAGTAGATGATCCTCAGGGTCCCTTCCAACTCTACCATTCTATGATTTTGGAGTAGGTGCTTCACACAGCCACTGCTGGAAAGTGGAGAACAGCAGCATGATGGTGGAGGAGCTGGGAGAGTCATGTGTCGGGCCAACCCAAGATATTTTGGCACCGGGGAGAACCACAGAATGCCACTCCCTTCCCCTGCCAGTTTAGTAAGAGGGAGGCGATGGTGTTGAAGAAAGTTTGCTTTATCTGAGAAAAGTACAAAGCCAGCCTTCTGAACGCAAGTCCCAACACTGTGTAGCCCTCCCAACACTCTTCACAGTCTGCATTCCTCACACAATGAAGCACACAAAAGTCAAGCTGTAGTGTTTTGTGCCCTCTGGAAATTTCAAGCAGTTACATTTTTTAGCATTCTGATTGTTATGTACCAAGGATCATTGTGAACTTTATCTGTGTGAGTTAGATGCTTTCAGTTTTTTCCTCTGTCTGTGTCACGTCTTTGAACAAAGTGTCCCTTGTTGAATAAGGTATTGTCTTTTTTTTTAAAAAAAACCCTCTCTTTTACCCATCACTCCTGCACTAAAAAATAAATAAATTCAGCTCTATAGGGGATTAGACCAAGAAAATTGATAAGTGGTTTTAGTCAGTGCTTTTTTTCTAGAAATATAAGTGCAGGTACTTACCATGAAGTTGTTACAGTAAGTGCTACACTTTTAACCAGTGCTTTTCATCTCAAAGAAAAAAAAGGTGCCGGTACTGCGTACCCTTGAATACACCCTGAAAAAAAGCACTGGTTTTTTAGTAATGCATGACTTCTCTTCTGCACAGTACCCAATGCATTGTTAGCAAGCTATAATAGCTGCCCCACCAGCCAGTGTAATTCAAAGAAGCAAAACTCAAATTAGTTGACTTGCACTAACTCTTTAGCCATGCTCACCACACCAAGATAACAACAAAACTGAAAGTGCAGATTATTGGAACCAACTTGATAACAGCTTGTGACTTGTGGGGAAGGGTGGAAGAAGAAAGCACAAGAGTTCAATGCTACGGCCAGGAGGCTATTGCTGTGGCTTCACCCCACCAGATGATCCTCTTCTGGTCTACCAACATCTGGGTGGGCATCTGCTCTGGGGTCTCAGGCAGGGGTCTTTCACATTGGTTGCTACCTGATCCTTTTAGTGGAGATGCCAGGGAGATGCCTACAAGCAGCAGATGTGCTTCTGCCACAGAACTATGGCCTTATGTGTGTTCACACTGCATTATATGGGAAATTTGAGGAAAGTGCTGTGTGGTTGAAGCACCAGATAACACATTTGACTTAATTCTTGTCATGTTTTTACATGTTTCAACTTAATCTGTTTTTAAGATACTTCTTTTTTTAAAAAACAAAACTGATTCAACAGGTATGGAAAGCGATCCAGCCCAGAGACACTGCTCTCCGACCTCTTGTTGAGAGAAAGCACAGAAAATATTCCTAGATCTAGGTACGTATAAAAGTCTTTTTGTGATCATTATTATCACTGAGCTATCTTATTACTGAGATGTTTAAGCCCTTGCTCTAAACTACCAACCCTTCTTTTTGTAAAAAAAGAAAAGAAATATTGAACAAATAAGAGGTTATTTTTTACTTTGCACATTCTAGAACCGTATCCAGTTCTGGACCCCTGCTTTAAAGCTAAAGGGCCGGGGGGGGGGGGAGTTACTATAGAATTTGTTGAAGTTTACATTCAAAACTTTTTACATGCCAAAAACTTTACATAAATCTTCATCAATGTGAGACCAAATAGTAGGAGCATGATGAATTACCCCACCCACAACATTGCATGCTTCTCCCCCAACAACCATGAATGGCTGTAGGGAATCGGGACTTTCCATGTATAGTTGTATGCACAAGGGTTCTCCAAGATCTAGAAGCACAGGGTTACAGATCTCTGGGAAGCTTTCATGCATACAACCTATACATGTGATGGTCTCCACCCTATGTACGACCATGCTGTGCACACAGTTGTTGAGGAAGGAACATACATTGTCCGAAGGGGGTCTACTCAACATGACCTCACTCCTTGCTCCTATGTCAGGCATAGGCAAACTCGGCCCTCCAGATGTTTTGGAACTACAACTCCCACCATCCCTAGCTAACAGGACCAGTGGTCAGGGATGATGGGAAGTGTAGTCTCAAACCATCTGGAGGGCCGAGTTTGCCTATGCCTGTCCTATGTTGACAAACATTGAACCAAATAATGCCAGAATAGAGCTATAGATACTAGAGATTCTGCGATTGTGCTACCAATGTACAGAGTGTTACATGAAGAACTGGGCTTCAATGAATTGCAAATATCTTCTCCCTCCCTCCCTCCCTCCCTCCCTCCCTCTCTGAATATAATTTCATCCAAGCCACCGTGCATCTACCTTATTCAAACAGGATGATGTTCTGCCAAAGCTAAGTCAGTGGGTGCCAGAGAGCTAAGCATGTGCTCAAGAATTCTGTGAAAAATGCATGTTTAAAATTGGCTGAATTTGACTAACTTGAGTCCATTGGTTTCAGTGGGTCTACACTAAGGAAGACTTAGTCAGATACAGCCAGTAGTGAGATTTACTTCAGAGCAAGGAACAATTCTTTATAATATAATTCAACAGTTTTTACTCCATCTGCTGCAGCTTGCACATAATCAAACTTTAAAGGCAAAACTAGAATATTACACACACACACACACACACACACACACACACACGGAATCCGATTTTCAACACATTTTAAACAAAATAATGTGATTATCTGCAACACAGACAGAGAGAAATAAGTCTAGTCACCAACTAATATGGTGAGCAATGCTATGTTCTATTGGTCTTTTGATTTCAAATACATTTGTTGTTTTTTATTATTCGTGTTGCTGACTTCTATTTTTATTACTTTTTTCTTTTGCTGTTGGAAAGCCACTTTGGATGGGAATTGCCCTGAGAAGTGGCCTATGAATATTTTAAAGTAAATTAAAGATAAAAAAGAAACAATTCAGTTCCCAGGTGCATTTCAACCTTGTGGCCTTCTTCAATGGTATAGAAACCAATGATTTTTCTGGATTGGCTGCATTACAGTAGGATTAAATTCAGACGCCTAAATCAGAGTGGAGGACTCTCCTTTCCAGGAAGAAGGTGCATGATATATATGGGCAGGCGATGTGTCTTCCATGCCTTCCTAGGAAATTAACACCAGAGCCTTCAGACACTCGGCTCATCCTGTGTTGAACAACATCCTCCTCTGTGAAAGTTCTTCTTGGGCTCCTCATCCATCTGTCCCTGCATCCAACAAAGCCATTGTGTGAGCAAAACATCTCCCCCTCACACCACAGAACTTCTTCTCCCTCTGTGTGCCACTGGACCCCATGTGCTCTGGGTACTTCCCAAATCTACCAGAACAGATTCAGGGCAGTGCATGTGGGAGGGTGGAGAAGGAAGAGAAGTTCTGTGGTGCAAGCCTGGTCTGCTCATGCAAGGATTTCACTGGATTCAACCTAGAACGTTCTTAATATAAAACTATTATTTCCATTATTCGGTGTACAAATCTCACTTGTATCCCTCCTTGTCTATGAATTGGGTTGCACATGGTAACTCATCATATATGTCTTTGAGTGAACTTATAGTAGTCCTGAAAAACAATTTAAATATTTCTATTCTCTCACTGACCACCAGGATATGTTTTTCTCTGTGCTACAGGTACGAGGATCCTTCCATGTGGTGATGGGAATGAATCACCTTCAGTATTTTTCCTAGTTTTCACTTCATGTCCCATTGCTAAGAAGACCAGCTGGAGTATCACACCCGCCAAATGCATGCAGCCATCGTACTGAATTCTGTAGTGTTCTCCCTTCCTTCTCCTTGTACATACATTTGTTTAAATAAATTAATTGTGCACTCCAAATGGTAACATTTTAAATGTGTGTGTCAAGAAAAGGCCCATTATAATGGGCAAGGGTTTCTTTTTTTAAAAGCTATTAAAACTGAGTTACAACCTCTTTACTGTCTCAAGTAGCATGAACAACAATCAGAGTACCAACTTCAGTACAGTAGTTGTAAAAAGTGACATTTGTTTGACAATTTTTCTGGCCTCGGGACTCACTTTTAATATTTATTTTATAGAACATTATTTGTTCCATTACAATTATTGGCCATGATGCAACTGAGATAAAAAAATAAAAATAAAAAAATGTGGAAAGTGCATATTTTATTAATCAGTGTACAGAATATTATTTATTGCTTTGACAAATCTCTTAATATTGATAGCATTTTTAGAGGACAGAAACTTTCCTGTGCCTGTGAATTAGACTATCAAAACCAATTCGAAAAAGTGCTCTAAACCTATTGCTGCTTTGTTTTGAAAAAAGAACCCTTATTTTTTATTTAAGATAACAGAAGGATGAGTTTAGGAAAGATTTGTGTTGCTCAAAGCATTGAACATTTAGTGCAGGTCTCCACAACTAAGTGGAACTAATTATAGGCCACCAGCCCTGAAGTATGGCCTGCCAGGGTCCTGGTAACCCCTCCTTTTTCCTTCCTTCCTTCCTTCCTTCCTTCCTTCCTTCCTTCCTTCCTTCCTTCCACCCACCCACCCTGGTGGCACTACCATTCATGGCTGATGGGCTTCCATATGACCTTATGGCTCTCAAGACTCTCATTCCCAGCAGGCAAGCAAATGGAGCTGATGGGAGTTGTAGTTCAAAATGTTTGGAGGGCACCAGATCAAGGGAGACTTTTATATTTATACATACAACCACCAGGATTAGAGGCCATGTGCTTTTGAATATCCAACAGAGGGACTGATATTGCCTTCATGTCCTGCTGGAGGGAAATTCATAGATATCTGGTTGGCCATGTGGGAACAGGATACTAGATTAGATAGGCATTTGGTCTGATCCAGTAAAGCTCTTCTTATCTTCCTTTTGGCGCTCTGGTCTAAACCACTGAGCCTCTTGGGCTTGCCGATCAAAACATCGGGGGTTAGAATTCCCGCGACAGAGTGAGCTCCCATTGCTCGGTCCGAGCTCCTACCAACCTAGCAGTTCGAAAGCACTCAAAAAAGTGCAAGTTGATAAATAGGTACCACTGTGGCGGAAAGGTAAATGGCGTTTCCATGCGCTCTGGTTTCTGTCACGGTGTTCCGTTGCACCAGAAGCGGTTTAGTCATGCTGGACACATGACCCGGAAAGCTGTGTGTGGACAAATGCTGGCTCCCTTGGCCTGAAAGCGAGATGAGCGCTGCAACCCCAGAGTCGCCTTTGACTGGACTTAACCATTCACGGGTCTTTTACCTTAATATGAAACAGTCTGCATTTTCCAACAATTCTCCAAGCATGGAACCTTATTTAGCCAAAACGACACCATCTGTGCAAAGGAGGGAAGGAGCACCAGGCCGGGAAGAACTGTAAGTCTGCAGAAGTTTTTAAAAAACCTTTAGAAAGCAACCTTATGCAGGGGGACAACCAGAACCATCCCATGAGAACAGAGCATATTTAGCAACCATGGAATTCTGGCAGATTATTGTGGGAAGCAGTCATGGTCCCAAGGTGGGGCACTTACCTGCTCTCCCATCACTGGCGTTGCTATTACTTCCCTGGAGGTGAGGGAAGGTGGCTATGAGATTGTTGTTGTACAAATGCACTGGTGGAAGCATGGATTGGCTCTGCCGGTGTGTTTGCAGTCTTATGGTCTCACTGCCTACTCCCCTCTCCCCCTCCTGGTAAGCCATAATGACGCTGGTGATGGGAGGTGAGGTGATTGCTGCTGCCCCACCGTCTGCTACTGGGAGGGGAGGGGCGATAGAGGGGACAGAGGGGAGATTGAATGGGCTATTGTGGAAGGAGGCAGACTGTGGGTGGTTGTCTGGCTAGATCAAGGGTCAGCAGACTTTTTCAGCAGGGGGCCGGTCCACTGTCCCTGAGACCTTGTGGGGCAGCCAGAATATATTTTGAAAAAATAAATAAATGAACGAATTCCTATGCCCCACAAATAACCCAGAAATGCATTTTAAATAAAAGCAAACATTCTGCTTGTGTAAAAACACCAGGCAGGCCCCACAAATAACCCAGAGATGCATTTAATAAAAGGACACATTCTATTCATGTAAAAACACACTGATTCCCTGACTGTTCACAGGCCGGCTTGAGAAGGCGATTGGGCCGGATCTGGCCCCCGGGCCTTAGTTTGCCTACCCATGGGCTAGATCCTATACATGAAAAGTCTTCCCTGCAATGTTTTGTTGCAGGCCTTGCTCAATCAAACACTCCTACTATTTGAGGTTCGCAATGCAGAATCAAAAAGATTTTACAAAACGGTGCCATTGCCAGATACAACCGGGAATGCCACAAACTGGGAAGGTTTCTGCCATATTTCCAAATGTGAAAAATTAGAGCGTGGCTCACTAACCATGTGGAGGCAGTCACTCAAGTGGAGAGATCAGCACAGGGCTCAACAAAACTGTCCCCTCCTCCTGACACTCTCAGATCTTCCTCTCACCTACGCATGTGCAGTAGGAGGTGCTTGAGGGTCTCCCATTCCTAGTGGCAGACCTGCATTTCAGTACACGCATACTGAGGAAGTGTGATGGTGGTGAAACACATGCTTCATGGCTGCTCTGTCAACATACGATGGATTACACCTTGAATTATGCTTATGTATCAGGTACTCAGCCATATTGCTCTGAGTTATTTAAGAAAGCAACATATTCTTGCCTTCACTCCATCTCAGTGAGGACTCTTATGGAAGGCAAGGGTTTTTTTCCCCAAGGAGCAGCTCTCCATAGGGAATTGCATTAAGCTCATGCATGATGGCAGCACATGTCTATTTCTCAATGACTGACCATGGTGTCACAGTGAAATTGTACATACAGTGAAATTGATAGGTGGGCAATTATCACAGATGATCTACTTTTCGGTTTTTACTGATTCATTTATATAGACATACAAAAACCAAAAAAAACTCTGCGCATAACATGTTACACACTACTGCACAGTCTAATGTTCCCTCAAAAATCAACTCGCTCCCTTCTAGATGATTCTGCATCAACATTAAAATTATGTATTCAATACAACACATATATAATACTCTCTATAAATTCACATTCTATTACATAAATTTTTATTGTATGAATAAATGATTGAAGTAACAATGAATCAATGATAGCAGGGAATAGCTTTAAATAATTTTATTTGATGTTATCATTCCACCTACTTAATAAAGGGCAGCATTGATTCTCACACTGCTCATTTCTTTATCTACCTTCCCTTAAGTGAACCATTTCCTTTCATTTTGCCATTATTGGCAGATTATACCAATTTTACTAAACAATTCTGATTCGGTTGGGATGATCAGAGCACACCATTTATCTGCTCTGATTTTTTTCTACCTATCCCAAAAGAACTGTAAGTGGGTTCATTTGTATACGGTGCCCAATTATTTCTTCTAAAAGCTCAATAAGTTTAGTCCCAAAGCATCTACCTCTCAGGGACTGAGCAGAGGAGGAATGGTGGAGACTGCCTCCGCATCCTGACCCTTCCAGGGAGAAGGAAGAGGAAGACAATATAGATTTACAACAGGACTTTGAGGGAGATCACAGCTCAGAGGCAGATGAGGGGGAAAGTTGGGAAATCATGGGAGAGCCAGACCAACACCTGGCTGACACATTGTCATTAGAAAGCATTCCAGACCCACCATCTCCCAGAACCTGGCGAGGCTTAAAAGTAGGAGAGCAAAGAGCTCAAAGACAGAGGGGACTTAGCAGCACCCATAGAAGTGACGAATGAGGAAGTGGGAGAGATGGGTTGGAGATTCACTCGGGACAACACCGTTATCCAAGAGGCTGGGTTCTACGGCCTCTCTCTGTAAAGATTGAAATAAAAAAGGACATTAAGAAACGTTTCCTTGTCCCTATACTTTCCTGGGCAACCAGCTGGGAGCCTCTGACAGCATCCTGACACCATCAGACATGAGTATACAGTGGTACCTCAGGTTACAAACACCTCGGGTTACAAACACTTTGGGTTACAGACTCCGCTAACCTGGAAGTAGTACATCGGGTTAAGAACTTTACCTCAGAACAAAAACAGAAATTGCGTGCCGGGGCACGTCGGCAGCGGGAGGCCCCATTAGCTAAAGTGGTACCTCAGATTAAGAACAGTTTCAGGTTAAGAACAGACCCCCAGAACGAATTAAGTTCATAACCAAACTGTAATCCACATCTTCGTCCTGATATTTCCTATGTGCTCTGCTAACCTTGTGGTGGCTCACCACATTGCTCTCTGTACTCCAGAGAGCTGCGCATGGTCAGCCAGATGGCAGAAGACAACTCAGCTTAGCATCCATCACCACACTACAGCTTAGGGATGGAATGTCAGAGCACACTGATTGCAGATTGTCCCAGGGCAGGGCAGCAATCACTTTAGCAGCCACTTTCTGGAGCTCTTTGGGCAAAATTTTGTTTTTCCTAAGGGAATTCAGCTGAAGCCTCTGATCTGCTTATTCAAAAGCCATCTTCCTTCATTTTTCAGCCACCATAATAACCCCTTACTTGTCCAATACATGGTATGCAGAAGATCTGTTGAAATGCCACTTGCAGCACCTTATCAATTGCTGCCATCTCTGAATATCTCTTTGCTAAATGTTTGGGGGGGGGGGGTTTCAATACAAGCTGCAAAACTAAATGTTTCTTTTATATCTACCTCTACCCAAATATACACAGATGATTTATATTTGTTGTATTTATTACTTCATTTCTTTATTCTGTTTTGTTTCTCCCAGTGCATGCCCAAGGTGGCTCACAGCATAAATGAAAACAGAACTAAAAACACACGGTAAATATTTTTAAATAGATAAATGAACAATCCTATTAAAAACAGCACGGACAATTCTTAAAACCGTTTAAAAGCACAAGACAAAAAGACGAGAGTTCGCACTGATTTCTACAACATCGTCTGGTACGACAACTCTTTTATTTATGCATCACAGGAAGCTGCCTGAATGCATAAAGATCCTTTGATTTGTACATCTTTTTCAGCCGGAGGGCCACATTCACTTCTGGGCAACTTTTCAAGGGCCACA